CCAGGCTGGCTAAGGCCTGAACATAGTGATCCTCCTGCCTCAGCCGCCCAAGTACTGGAATTACAGGCGTCTGCCACCACACCTGACTGTTTAGTATTAAGTATATTATAAAATTTGTTGGTAACAAATTGCATTATGTGAGAATATCTTAATCTCTTTATTTCTTTTATTTTTTTGTTCTTTAACTGGGGATCCAACCCCAGTGCTCTCACATTGAGCTATATCCCCAGTCTCTTCTTCGTATCTGATAATGGTTTTGCTGGATTTTTGTTGGTAGTGTTCTTTCATTTAGCAGTTGAGTGTATCACTGTGCTGCATATTGACTTCATGATGTCTAATGATAAATCACATTGAGAACCCCATATGCATGTGAATAACTTGCTATTTTCAAGATTTTTTTTTTGGCAGTACAGGGTATTGAACGTAAGACCTTCACAGAGTTGTATTTCTAGCCTATTTATTTTGAAATAAGGTATCACTAAGCTCCCAAACCAGGCTCAAACTCATGATCTTCCTGCCTCAGCTTCCTTTTTTTTTCTTTTTTTGGTACTAGGAATCGAATTTAGGGCCTCACACTTGCCAGACAGACATTGTGCTGCTGAGCTATATTCTCAGCTGTCTTAGCTTCCTAAATGCTAAGATGAGAGGCATGTACTGCAACAACTGACTTTACAAAATAAATCTTCCCCATCTATTTGGGAGGTTGAAGTAGGAGGATCTCATGTTCAAGGCTAGCCTGCGTAGCTTATCAATTTAGCAAAACTTTGTCTCAAAATTAAAAAGTATTGGGGATGTAGCTCAGTGTGAAGTTCTGAGTTCAATTTCCAGCACCACAAAAACAAAACAATGAGACAGCTGGGTGTGATGGCACATGCTTGTAATCCCACCACTTGGGAGGCTGAGGCAAAAGGATGGCCATAAGTTTGAGGCCAGCCTGGGCTACATAATGAGTTCAGGCCCAGCCTGAATTACATAGCAAGACCTGCCTCAATACAAAATAAAAAACAAAAACAAAATCATTGAAGCCAGTTGTGGTGGCACAAGCCTATATATCCCAGCACTCTGAGAGGCTGAGACAGAAGGATTACAAATTCCATCGCAATCTGGCCAGTGTGGAGACTTAAGACTTTATCTCAAAATAAAAAATAAAAAAGTGCTGTGGATATAGCTCAGTGTGAAGAACTTGGGTTCAATTCTTAGCACAGCAAGAATAAATAAATAAATAAATGCATATAAATATAACACAGCACCTGTGTTAATTAGGTTCTCTTTCCTCTTTGGTTCTGTTTTGTTCTTCTTTGTTATTGACAGTGACAGTTTGTATACTGGCTTTTCTGAAATAACTCTGTAAATTAATTTCACTTTCTCTCTTCCTCCCTTGTTTCTTTTTCTTTTTTTGTGAATTGAATGATGGGAATTGAATTTTGGGAATTGAATGATGGATCTTAGTACTGAGCTATCTCGTCAGTCCTTTTAAAATTTTCAAGTTTTGAGACAGCTTCTCACTATGCTGTTAAGTTATGCAGTCTGGGCTTGAAGGAGGAGAGGTTTAATCTGCCTCAGTTTCAGAGAGCTCAGTCCATGATTGGCTGGCTCCAAGGCAAAACATGTCAAAAGGGTGTAGTGGAACAAAGGTGCTCATGGAGGCCAGGAAGCAGAGCACAGGGGAAGAGCACCAGTGAAAGATACACTCCAAAGGTCCACCCTAGTGATCCATCTCTAATCCAGCCCCAGCTCCTAAGAGTACCTTCAGCTATAAACATCTGTGGATTAGCTCACTGATGGTGTAGGGCCCCCATGATCCAATTACCTCCCCAGGAGTCTCTTAAGCCAGTTGATATTACCTGAGGCTCAGTGGTGGACTTCTGTAATCCTAGTGCTGCAGGAAAATTCCCAAACCCAGCCAAACTGGAAGACTCTTTGAACCGAGGAGATAAGAAGGCAGCTATTAATCTTTATGCTGGCAGACTGGTGAATCTTCACACCAGCAGACTGTTGTGGGATAATTCCTCAAAGGCAACAGCACTGAGTTGACAGAAACTTCGTTTATATAGAACTTAGAAGTAGGAGGTACAAAGCAAGTGACAAAATGTTACATAATTGGTTATATACATTGAGTCATATATTGACAGGCAAGTTAGTCTTGAACAGATTTGTTTGAAATAAAAGAATTGTTTATCATCATATAGAAACATTCCCAGAACAAGCAGAGGGGCCTCTTACAGAACAAAAAATATTCTGGGAATAAGGGGAGGGACCTTTATAAGGTGAACATAGTATATAAACATTCTGGGAACAAGGGGAGGGGACCCTTACAGGGTGAGCATAGTCAAAAGTGTCCTTAACTAACCCAGGATTTCTTTTTTTTTTTTTTGTCTTTTTCGTTTTTATTGGTACCAGGGATCAAACTCACGACTGCCTGCTTGCAGGGCAGGCGCTTATGCCGCTGAGCTAAATCCCCAGTCCCTAGCCCAGGATTTCTTAAGGTATAAACAATTATTCTGATTTAGTGCTTATCAGAGGTATGCAGTTTTGACACTATCAAGGTCAGATGAATTCAGGAGCAGAAACTTGGTCAGAGACCTCAAATTCGTATCATGAAGTACCTCTAAGTTTGCTATTTTATATATGTGTTCTTACATTATACTTATGCCCCAACACTAGCACTCTGTGACTGAAGCAAGGAGGATTGTAAGCTCAAGCCCCTCCTGGGCAACTTTAGTAACTTAGCAAGACTTTGGCTTAAAACAAAAGGTAAAAAAAGGGTGGGGATGTAGCTTAGTGGAAAAGTCCCTGGGTTCAATCCATGGTATAGAAAGAGAAAGAAAAAAAGAAAGAAAGAAAGAAAGAAAGAAAGAAAGAAAGAAAGAAAGAAAGAAGAAAGGAAAGGAAAGAAGAGAGAGAGAGAGAGAGAGAGAGAGAGAGAGAAAATTACCTCACGTATGACTAGAAGCAGTAAATCTTTCAGTTAGCCAAGGGTCTCAGAGTGCACATTGGAACATGCTTTCAACCTTCACCCAGGCAGTTTGCAATGCTGCTTCTTTTCCTGCTTGGATACAGCCTCAAGTTTAAGCAATGGTGCGGGTTTAGGGGGGTCTTCAGACTTTCCTAACCATGCACAAAGGCCTGAGGATTAAACATGCACACAGCCTCCTACATGTGCAGCTTTCCCCAGATCCCTATGGATATCACATTCCACAGTCTTTTCTTTTAAATTAGCCTGTTCTTTTCTCCAACTGTTGTCTATCATCACAGATAGTACAATGTTAAACAGTTGCCTTTCATTGTTATAGACAAACGTCCCAAAGGAAAAGTCTTTTTAGCAACAGGTTCCAAGCCAGGTCAAATAAATATAGCTTTTTTTTTTTAAAGTTTCAAATATATTTTATTTCTTCAATATGTCATATTTTTAATAGCCCTCTAGGGCTTTTACTTGGCATCAGTTATTTGTTGGTTATGAAACAGTTCAGTATTACACCAGCTGGCATGATTACCACTCTGTCCATTCCTTTGGGGTGAGTTGTTAACAGTGGACAGGTTTCATTGTTTTCCAATTTGTATTTCTCTTATAGTATATGTCTATGCAGAAAGTGGCTGCACTAGCTAGTACAGCATAAATGTTATTTGTCATGGTAATCTAATATCTGTTTCTGGCATCTGCTTTGTCACTGTTTGTTGAGTGCTTCTAACTTGGAGATTACTTAAGGTATTTTTGCCAAGGGAAATATGGAGCTGAAGGTAGAGCTATGGTAAATGCAGATATTGATTTGATACAAAGTTGCTCCAGGTGCCCTTGCAAAGAGCCCTAAGAAACCTAGATTTCCTTGAGTGAATTTCCAGGAAACTATAAGACAGAACAAATCATTGAATGGAGTTTTCTGTGAATGAGGCTTTGAAGGAGTTCTAAATCCATTTTGCTTCTTTAGTAGCTACCAAGATGCCGGCTTTCAAGGAAAGAGGAAGAGGAAGGATGGGCAAGGGCATATTAAAATGGCACAAAACTCATTGTTCTTATTGAGAGTCACTTTGATGAGAGGCAGGGTCTCACTAGGTTGTTCAGGCTGGCCTGGAACTCATGACAATCTTTCTGCCTCAGCCTCCCAAGTACTGGGATTCCAGGCATGCACCACCATGCCCAGCAAGAGTCAATTATTTTTCTTGCATAAACACTCCCATTATTGCTGCAAGCCTTTCCAAAGTAATAAAAGAAAAATTGATCCTGAGGATTTTACCAGTGATCTTGTCACTTTTATGGATGAGTGAAATTTTGGAGGCTCTTACTCCACCATTTTTGCTCACATTATTCTTTTTGGTTGCTTTTTGTGTGTGTGTGTACCGGGGATTGAACTCACGACCTCGCATTTGCCAAGCAGGCACTTATGCTGCTGAGCAAAACCCCTGGCCCCTCTGGTTGCTTTTAAATTTTTCTTTCCATTTGTTTTTGTACTGAATTCTTTAATGTCATTATTGATGTCTGTGTTTCTCGCACATCCAACATCTGCAAATCCTGTACGGGTAGCAAATCCTCTACCTTTGAAAAATATTCAGGATCCTACCACTTTTCACCACTTGTATTGTTACCAGCCTCCTTTAACCTAGTGCTCTTCTGTCACTCATTATTATTATTTTTGAGACAAGGTCTTGCTATGTAGTATGGGCTGGCCTTGAACTCATTATATAGCCCAGACTGGCCTCAGATTCTCAACAATCCTTCTGCCTAAGCCTCTCAAGTGCTGGGATTACATGGGTGTACCACCATGCTCAGGCTTCACTCTTTTTTTTTTTTTTTTTTTTGTCTTTTTCATTTTTATCGGTACCAGGGATCAAACTCATGACCGCACACTTGCAAAGCAGGCGCTTATGCCGCTGAGCTAAATCCCTCAGCCTTCACTCTTTATTTGTTTATTTTTTGATTCCAGGGATCGAACCAAAAACTTCATGTTTGCCAGGCAAGTGCTTATGCTGCTGAGCTAAATCCCTTATCTTCTTTCTTTTTTCAGACTTCTAAACATGGGTGTGGCTGTAATTCTACAAGGTCTGTACCCTTCAAAGATTCATGGACCAGAATCTTGGTCCTCAATATGGGAGTATAAAAGATGGAAGAACTTTTGAGAGGTGGAGTATAATGGAAGGTAATGAGATCATTGAGGACAATATCCTTGGATGATATTAATGTAGTTCTCACAGGACCTTGGCTAGTGCCCACCAGAATAAGTTATAAAAAGAGTAAGCTTGGCCCCTAATTGTTTCTGGCTTGCTGTCTCACCGTATGATCTCTGCATGTGTTCCTGCCACTCTAATGCCATCTGTCATGAGACAAAATTATGGAGTAAACAAATAGGACCATCCAATGTTGGATTTTTAGTCTTTCAAACTGTAAGCTAAATAAATTTTTTTCTTGTAAGTACTCAGCTTCAAGCCTGACATAATATGTGCCTGTAGTCCTAGCACTTGGGCAACTGAGACAGGAGGATCACCATGAGTTCTATACGAGCCTACACAGCGGCTTCAAGGCTAACCTGAATCGCATGACCGCTCTCACTGTTCATCCCCCTACCATCAGAAAAAGTACTCACCTTCAGATAATTTGATATAATGACAGGAAATGGATGAAGACTGTCCTGTTTTAAAACCTTTGCTTTGTTATATCAGATTTATATATGGTTCATTCCCTTAGTTTCTTTAGGTCATTGCTCATTTCACGCTATACCTCACATCCTCTCTATCTTCTTTATTGTGCCTCATGTTATATTTCCTAGTATTTATTATCTGTCTCCTCACATTAGAATGTAAACACCTAAAGGCATGTGTTCATTATTGTATCCTCAGTGCCTGGAACATGACTGATTTACGTGGTATTCTAGTAGAATGTGTAACAGATATCTTTCATTTGTCCCTCGATCCTCTCTTCATTAGTCATGATGTTCTCTACGCTGTATGGACAGTATCAGTAGACTCTTTTGCTCTCTGATTTCAGCCCAGGTAGAGCTCCAATAAGAGTCTAGAGAAGAAGCCAGGCATGGTAGTGCACAACTATAATCCCAACACTTAGGAGGCTGAGGCAGGAGGACTAATGCAATTTTGAGGCCAGCCTGGGATACATAGAGAGTTCGAGTTCACCCCGAACTATGTAGCAAGAACCTGTCTTGAAAAAATTGGAAAAATAAATTTGGAGGAAAGACAGGCCAGATTTCCCAAGCTCTTTTCTGCTAAATTGCCTCAGGTTTACTATCCCTGGATCCCTGGAGGGTCACTATCTCTCTCTCTGTCTCTGTTTCTGTCTGTCTCTGTCTCTGTCTCTCTCTGTCTCTCGTATCCTCTTGTAGCCTTTTCTTCCTACTAATTCCTTTATACCATTCTTTTGCCTTTTGGTGTCAGCATAGCAATAGCTTGTCTGCTGTTACCACCTTTAGGGTATTGTACTAACACTGTTTTCACAGGGCTGGGAATTTAGCTCAGCAGCATCTCAGTCGTGAGTTCGATCCCTGGTACTGATTAAAAAAAAAGACACAGTCCTAACACTGTCCTCAGAGTATTGTCCTATCCATATGGTTTTCTTGCACCCATTGATACTTTTGTAAATAGGCCTAATTCAAGAGTGACTTTTATTTACAATGAACCTAATTACAGGTTTATTTACAATTAACCTAATTTGAGAGTGACTTTTATTTACAATGAACCTACCAAAAAAGAAATCAGGAGAACAATCTCACTCCTAGTAGCTTCAAAAACAAATTTAAGCTGGAGGTTTAGCTCAGTGGCCTAAGTGCCTGCCTGGCAAGCGTGAGGTAGTCAGTTTGATCCCCAGTACAAAAACAAACAAAACAAAAAAAACCCCCAACAACAACAGCAAAAAAACAAATTTAAATACCTAGGAATTAACATATTCAATGAAGTGAAAGACCTCTCTGATAAAAAAAAAAAAAAAGTATAGTTAACAAACAAAAAACTATAGTATCCTGAAAAAAGGAAATTGAACAGGGCATCAGAAAATGGAGAAATATCTTTTGTTTCTAGATAAGCAGAACACAAAATTCTTGTTTTGTCTGTTTTTGAGACAGGGTCTTGCTATGTAGTATAGGCTAGCTTTGAACTCACTATGTAGTCTAGGCTGGCTTAAAATCCTACAGCCTCAGCTCTCAAGTATTGGAATTATAGGTATGTGTCACCACATCTGCCAGAAGTTATATTATCAAAATGGCCAATCAAAATACTAACATTATTTTTCACAGAACTAGAAAAAAAATTCTATTTGGAACCAGAAGAGACACAGGATAGCAAAAACAATTCCGAGTGACAAGAGCAAAGCAGGAGGCATCATGAGTCTGAATTTCAAACTATATTACAAAGCCACAGTGACAAAAACAGCATGATACTGGCACAAAAACAGACATGTTGGTCAGTGGAGTAGAAATGAGGCTGCGGAAATAAACCTAGCATTTTTGGTCATCTGGTCTTTAACAAAGGGGCCAAAAACATATGCTAAAGAAAAAGATAATCTCTTTAACAAATGGTGCTGGGAAAAATGGTTATCTGTGTGCAGAAGAATGAACATCTTTCTCACCTTGAACTAAACTCAAATCAAATAAAAAACAGATCAAAGACATAAGACTAAAAACACTAAATCTTGTGGAAGAAAAACTGATAAAACTCTTAAAGGCATAGGAAAGACTTCCTGACCAGAAGCCCAGTTGCACAAGAAATAATACCAAGACTCAACAAATAGGCTATTTCAAATTAAAAAGCTTTTATATAACAAAAGAAACAATTAAGAGAGTGAAAGAACAATATATAGAATGGGAAATTTTTTTAAAAATTTTATTTAAAGAAAGACTAAACAAAACAGAAAATGGGTAGAAATAATACATACATTCAGAGAAAAAAATAAACAGTAAGAAATCACTAGTTGATGTTTACATATTGTCATGTTACAAATAGTTCTTCAAGATCCAAAAATGAAACATGTAAAGTGGAAATTCAAACAGTGAGACTGCAAACAGTTCTGTTCAACTGTCTAAAAAAAAACTTAGTAACATGGTTGTCGATCCTATACACTTAAACATACATGCAGTTATCCATATCTTCATTTATGTTGAGATTAAACAAACTAAAGCAGGTTAAAATCATTCTGAACAAAGAATAATAGTATTGCTGGATTTCACATCATGACACTCCATGATCAGCACTGGGCACTGTAGTGTCTTTTTTAAAAATTTAATTTAAAGAAAGACTACACAAAACAGAAAACAGGTAGAAATAATACATAATTTCAAAGAAGAAAATAAACAGTAAGAAATCACTAGTTGATGATTACAGATTGTCTTCTTACAAATAGTTATTCAAGATACTAAAGTGGAGCATATAAAGTGGGGATTCAAACAATGAGACTGCAACTAGTTCTGTTCAACTATCCAACAAAAACTTAGAAATACGGTTATCAATCCTATACATTTAAACATACATGCAGTTATCTATATCTTCAATTATGTTGAGATTGAATAGACCCAAGCAGGTTAATATCTCTCTGAACAAAGAATAATACTATTTCTGGGTGTCACATTATGACACTCCAGGATCAGCACTGGGTATTTTAGTGTCTTTTTTTCTTCAAAGTATCTGTTCATTTCATCATGTGTCATAAGATCAGTTCTCATAAACTGTTTATAGATTCTACACATGCATGAGTCTTAACATGTATTTCTATCCTTTCTATATTAGAGGGAGAAACAAACCAAAGCAAGGCAAAATAAAACATATTCCTATAAACACATGAAATGAAAAAAACATATAAGACCATTGTACAGAGTGTTCTACTATGGTTCCTATGTTGTCTCTTGTTATCTCCAATAAAATTGACTATATCATCAGATATAGTATAATTGAATATAGCAGTACATAACAGTATTAATAAAAACACAACTTTGTATATAGTATAGAACTTCAAAAACTGGCAGTTATCAAACCAGAATGTGTATTGTAGAGTCTTGTCATCTTCAGTGTAGTTGCCTATACTCTCAGACTTGATACTCTCAATCATATCAGTTTTGAATAAAATCTTCTCTGCATCATTTCTGTTATGCTCTTTTTTTTTTTTTTTTGCCATTAGTTGTCTGCTTATCTCCTTCATTCTGTTTTCTGCTCCATTCATTGAGGCCTCTCTGCTATTGTTCCTGAAATCCTAGTACTTTTCTCTCTCTAGAATGCCCTGCAGTATGCTCTGTAGAGTTGGATTAGTAGTTGTGAATTTCCCAAGTTCCTCTTTGTCTTGGAAGCATCTTGTTTCTCCATTAATTTCTAGAGACAGTTTATCACAGTATATCAATCTGGGATGGAGGTTATTTTCTTTTAGGGCTTGGAATATTTCGCTCCAGGCTCTTCTTGACTTGATGGTTTGTGTCGAGAAGTCTGCCATTATTCTGAAGGGTCTTCCTCTGTAGGTTATCTGTTGCTTGTCTCTGAGAGCTTTTAATATTTGTTTTTATATTTAATTTCTGAGATCTTGATTATTATATGCCTGGGTGTAGCTCTGTTTTGGTTGTAGGTGGCTGGAGTTCTGTATGCCTCATATATCAGAATGTTTTTCTTAATTATTTCTGTGAATAGCTTTATAGTTCCTTTGTTTGTACTCTAGCTTCTTCATTCACATTCTTTATTCTCAAGTTACAGATCGTTTTTGTTTTTGTTTTTTTTTTTTTTTTTTTTTTGGTCTTTTTCCTTTTTATCAGCACCGGGGATCAAACTCGCGACTGCCTGCTTGCAAGGCAGGTTCTTATGCCGCTGAGCTAAATCCCCAGCCCTATGTTATAGATCCTTTTGTCTTCTTCTAGCCTTTGTATCATTACTGCTTGTTTCCTTGTTATTTTTAAAAAGTTTTCCCTTTCATACTCCCACATTGCAAAATTGTCCTCCAGTTTGGATAATTTAACCTTAGTTTCTTTCAAGCTGATTTGCCATCTTTCCATAGAGTTTTTAATTTCCTGGTGATCTCTTTGAATCTGCTTCATGTATTCTATATTTTTTTATATTCTTTACCAAATGGTTCTCTCCTTTGTTTGAGTTCTTCCCTTCTTCCGTCTGTGTCTGCTTGAGGGGTGCTTAGTATCCCTTTTATTAATCTTCTTATATCTTGCTT